TAGGATCCAGGACCGAGTTGAAGTCCCCCAATATAACAGTAGCAAGTCAAGGTAGTGAAGACAATCGTTCACTTAAGTCAGAAAATATTGCAGCCGTGACAGAAGGGGAAAAGTAAACAGCTACCAGGATCAACGGGACACCATGTATTGAACATAGTAAAAGGACATATTGACCTTTAGGGTCAGTGATCACCTGATCACAGGAAAAAGGGAGGCCCTTACAAATCAACACAGACACTCCACGTGCGTAATTCGAAAAGGTAGAGTGGTATCCATGTAGTACCCAATGTTTAAGGGAAAGAGTTTTGGAGCCCATGATATGAGTCTCTTGGAGACAGAGGACATGAGGATGATGGGACTTAAGGAGTTCAAAAACAGAGACTTTTGAATTTAGAGTTCAGTCCGCGAACATTCCGGGACAAGAACGTAACAGAAGACATTGGTCAAAATGGAAATATGGTAACTAGGTGGAATGGCAACAGGGGTCCAGGATCAGCCGCAAACCCTGGCAACACTGCGATACCACTAGGGGGAGATGGTGTGCAAACACACAAAACAGCCACACCGCAGGAAACCCAACAAAAATTTTTTACAGGAAAACAAGCAAACAATAACCAAAACCCCTGCCCAGCTCCAAAAAAAAAGGCCTTAAACCCAAAACCAAGGACAGTCACGGGAAACATAACCTGAGATCCCATGGTGGTCAAAAACAGACCAAAAAAAAAAGATCAAACAAGAAAAGCGGAACTAGTCAAGCTGGAGTGTTAGGTAAAAGGAAAACCATACATCAACAGCCAACCAACAGGCTAAAAAAACCTCCTTGCAGGGAAAAAATATTAGTGACCGCCCAACCAAGCAGACACAAAAGAAATTAGTAAGATAGCTTGCTTGTAGACACGACCACACGACCATCAAGGTAACGGAGGGGAAGAAATAGATCTAGGGGGATGCGGCAGGGCCTCAAACCATGGGATGACCATGTCAGGGGTCTGAAGAAAAGTGTACACTATCTTGATGTATCACACGTAGAGTAGCAGGGAAGAGCATAGAGTAGGACAGACCACATTCACGTAATTTCTGCTTGACATGTTGGTATTTGGCCCTGAGATTGCGAACCGTCATAGAATAATCAGGGAAGAGAGACACCACAGCGTTGTTGATGCGAAGGCTCCCTGTCAGGCGAGCAGCACGTAGAATCGAATCCCTGTAGTTTAGAGGCGAATCACCATGGTGCAAGGAGGGCTACCTTCGGGGAGAGGCCTACTTGGAACTATGGGCTCTCTCAATTACAAAACAGGTAGATAAGCAAGCACGGACAAATTCCTGTTCCAGCCAACTCTCCATAAAGGCCACCGGATCAGACCCCTCCACTTTCTCGGGTAGGCCCACCAACCGCAAGTTATTCCTACAATGGTGATTATCCAAGTCGTCCACTTTATCATCTAGAGATTTAATTTTACCCTCATACAAAATTAACTTTAGGCAGGAGAGTCCTCCAAATCACTAATGCGCTTCTCTGTAGCAGACACCCATTCTCTGACTTTATGCATGTCCTGGCGCATAAGAGTAAAATCAAGTTTGAGCTCTTCTACCTTCCCCAACAGATCGGAGTGATTTACCTTGATAGTAGCCAAAAGATTCGATAGGGTGGGCTCCACAGTCTCCTCCGCACCATCACCACTAGGGGATGTCAGAGCAGCAGCGGTGGATCCAGAGCAACGGGCAAGGAGGGCAGAGAGGCCTCCAGCACCTCCCCGAACAACTCTGCAGTGGAGGCCGGGGAGGAACGCGGTGTGGCGGCCTTCTTGGCAGGTGCAGGCGCCAAGGCTCATCCTGGTCGGAGGCTGCTTATGGTGCCTTCCCATCCACCAAACCGTCAGTCAGGGAGGTAAGAGTGTGCCCCCGCAAGCTGGGGGTAAAAAGAGCAGTCTTGCCCGCGTGGGCGATCAGGATGGAGCAGGATTGTCGGAGGATAGACTGGAGCTACTGTAGGGAACGTCTGCTCCCATGGTACATCAGGCCACGCCTCAGAACTGTATTGTTTACTTATATTTCTTTCCCTGTGTCAGTAATGCTCCTCTATTACCAGGTGCCGGCGAGAAATTACCGGCCGGGACCCGGTGATTGACAGCCGAGGTCGCGAATAGTGGCGCGGGTAGCGCACTCACGCGCGCCCCCTAGCTTTTAATGTAAAATCATGTATAAATAATAGATTGTAAGCTCTAAAGAGTAGGGCCCACTGTTTCCTCTTGTATCAAATTGTATTGTAACTGTCTACCTTCATTTTGTAAAGTGCTCCGCAAACTGTTGATGCTATATAAATCATGTATAATATTATTAATAATAATAAAATAATCTACATGTGATTTTGTGCACCCCTGCCATCCTGTAGCAGTATTACTGCTATAGGGCGGACAGGAAGCGGTTAATCTTGCATGCTCCCGTGAAATGGCAACAAACTTCAGTACCCTATATTTTCTATAGGCGATGCTTTAAAAGACCCCTATAGGTCATCAATTTAGCCTTATGGAGGAGGTCTGATGCAAAAATTTTTCTCATTCGTGTGCACGGCAATGTGCAACGTGTATCGCAAATGACATTTTCATGCGTAGGCACCCCATGTGCGTTTACGATTGCACATACTTATATGTGGGGCTTCTTTTGTGGAAGGGTCAAATTTTACTTGCTTCTGGTGCAACTTATATCTTTTATTTTTCTTTACTTAACTTTTTTTTCCTTATCACATAGGCAACAAAAAGTCCACTATGTGATGATGTTTCCCAGAGCAGGGCTAAATATAGAAAGACTACCTGTCCGGTGTCTGGAACTGCATGTCTTGCAATACAGAAATTGTGCATCCCTGATGCCATTTTGAATGGGAAGGGTGGGCAAACCAAAACATTGGTGGAAAATAGTCAACAGGGTCGCAACAAACATGTCGACAAAATAAAAAAAAAAAAAAAAAAAAAAAAAAAAATGCACATTAACTGCCAATGATTTAAGAAGAAACAAATGTGAAGCTAGCTGAAACCCATTATCCTCCAGTGCTGTCATATTTCAGAACTGCAACCTACCTGGAGGTGCCCACAAGTACAAAGATGTTCAATGCTCAGAGACATGGGCAAGAGTAAGGAACAGGGGTGGACTGACCATTTGGAAACTCGGGCACTGTCCGAGGGCCGGGGTCAGTAGGGGGCCCATGAGATGCTCCTGGCACCTTTTTCATAGGCTTTTTTGAGTTTGGGCAAGGACATAGGGGCCCCATGATCCCCTACTGCCCGGGGGCCCCATGAGTTGTCAGTCCACCCCTGGTAAGGAAGGTTGAAATTTGACAACCACTGAACAAGACACAAGTTGAAACATCAAGACTGGGCCAGAAAAAAATATCTGAAGATACATTTTTTTCAAAGGTTTTATGGACTGATGAGATGAGTGACCCTTGAACAAGATGGATGGGCCTATGGCTGGATCAGTAATGGGCACAGAGCTCCAGACTCAGACTATAGCAAGCTGGAGGTGGAGTACTGGTATGGGATGGTATTATTAAAGATGAGCTGATGTCCAAAAACATTTATGTAAAAATTGTCCAAATGGGTAGAGTCACACATGGTAGAGGAATGCCCTTGAGGGATAGAATTATTATAAGGTATACAACATGACTACTGTTTGTCTACTATATAAATTTGCTCCTTTGGTGCACTGGGAGATAGTAAAGCACGGATGACAATTCACCAATATGAAGCGGCGGGGGGGATGGGTAGAGGTTTACTGCAAAATGTTTTCTTTTTTCCTCTTTGTACGTTGATGTGATTTTCTCAGATGACTAAGTATAGTCTTTTATCTTTTTAGTTTTTGTTATTTAACAAAAAAGAAAAAGCACTATGTATTTAAGTGGACCTTTAATATATATATTTCTGCTGATTCCGTCTCTCTGGGAACCTAGTTAAGCTGATTTGTGGCATGTTATCTTGCAATTGGATATTAATTGCACATGTAACTTTGAACCGAGATTCATATATTATGCAACGTCTTACGTATTTTTATACTGTACAGTCTGTGTATATGGCAATAAAACCTTTACAAAAAAGAAAGTTAGTTGGACCTTTTCGGGTTGAAGATGGACTCAAAATAAACTCCAAAACCTACTGCCAGTTTTTAGAAGACACTTTCTTCAAGAGTTAGTACAGTAAAAAGTCTGCATCCTCCAAGAAGACCATGATATTTATGCAGGACAATGCTCCATCGCATGCATTGAGGTACTTCACTGCGTGGCTGGCCAGTAAAGGCCTTAAAGATGAAAGAATTACATGCTCCTGCCCCCCCCCCCATTCCTCACTTGACCTAAATTTACGATGAAGGAAAACAGTACACCTCTCATGAATGGGAAGGCTTATGACATATTGAAAAGAAGGGTGGCTATATTGGTCATTGATTTTTTTTTTTTTTCAAATGTTTGTTTTCACCTGTTAACCACTTGCCCAGCAGGAGACTCCCCCCCCCCCCCCCCCCCCATCCCTGACCAGGCCCATATTTTGCCATTTGGCTCTACACTTACTGGTAATTGCGCGGTCATGCACACATACCCAAATGAAATCTATGTCCTTTTTTCACACAAATAGAGCTTTCTTTTGGTGGCATTTGAGCTCTACTGAGTACTTTATTTTTTGTGATATGAACAAAAAAGAAAAACGAAAAAAAAAAAACTTTGAATATAATATATAGTTATTTAATTTTTTTCCCTACTTTCGGTTACAAAAAATATCCAAATAAACTCAAAGTTAGTCATAAATTTAGGCCAAAATGTGATTCTGCTAAATGTCTTTGTTGAAAAAAAAAAAAAAACCCAGTACATGTACAGTATTTTTCACTCCATAAGACGCACTTTCCCCCCCCCCCCCAAATAAAATGGGGGAATGTCTGTGCGTCTTATGGAGTGAATATGGAGCGGCCAGCCCGGTATTCCCGCCGCCGTGTTAGAATACTGGGGCTGGCCGCTCGGCTCTACTGTGCAAAACCTGCTCCTCGGTCCAACGGTGTCCTGCTTCAATTGGCAGTCTTCTCCCCCTGGCGCCAGCATCTTCAGTGTGGGCACCCGGTTGTGACAGCTTGCGGCTTCACAGCCGGGTGCCCACTGCGCATGCGCGAGAAGCGCTGCTTCTTGTGAATGGCCCTGTAGTCTTGTGGGACCGGTCATGTCACCCCAAAGGTCCGCAGTCTCTGGTCATCTCCTGTACTGTGTCCACAGTCTCTGGTCATCCATCTCCTGTGCTGTGTCTGCGGTGTCCGGTCATTTCCTGTGCTGTGTCTGCAGTGTCCGGTCATTTCCTGTGCTGTGTCTGCAGTGTCCGGTCATTTCCTGTGCTGTGTCTGCAGTGTCCGGTCATTTCCTGTGCTGTCTGCAGTGTCCGGTCATTTCCTGTGCTGTGTCTGCAGTGTCCGGTCATTTCCTGTGCTGTGTCTGCAGTGTCCGGTCATTTCCTGTGCTGTGTCTGCAGTGTCCGGTCATTTCCTGTGCTGTGTCTGCAGTGTCCGGTCATTTCCTGTGCTGTGTCTGCAGTGTCCGGTCATTTCCTGTGCTGTGTCTGCAGTGTCCGGTCATTTCCTGTGCTGTGTCTGCAGTGTCCGGTCATTTCCTGTGCTGTGTCTGCAGTGTCCGGTCATTTCCTGTGCTGTGTCTGCAGTGTCCGGTCATTTCCTGTGCTGTGTCTGCAGTGTCCGGTCATTTCCTGTGCTGTGTCTGCAGTGTCCGGTCATTTCCTGTGCTGTGTCTGCAGTGTCCGGTCATTTCCTGTGCTGTGTCTGCAGTGTCCGGTCATTTCCTGTGCTGTGTCTGCAGTGTCCGGTCATTTCCTGTGCTGTGTCTGCAGTGTCCGGTCATTTCCTGTGCTGTGTCTGCAGTGTCCGGTCATTTCCTGTGCTGTGTCTGCAGTGTCCGGTCATTTCCTGTGCTGTGTCTGCAGTGTCCGGTCATTTCCTGTGCTGTGTCTGCAGTGTCCGGTCATTTCCTGTGCTGTGTCTGCAGTGTCCGGTCATTTCCTGTGCTGTGTCTGCAGTGTCCGGTCATTTCCTGTGCTGTGTCTGCAGTGTCCGGTCATTTCCTGTGCTGTGTCTGCATGTCCGGTCATTTCCTGTACTATGCAATCCACTGGTTCAGAATTTTTTTTTTTTTGTTTTCCTCCTCTAAAATCTAGGTGCGTCATATAGTCAGGTGTGTCTTATGGAGCGAAAAATACGGTATATTAATTGGTTTGTGTGAAAGTTATTGCATCTACAAATTATGGTACATATATGCTGGAATTTATGCAGCTTTTACTTTGACTGCCTATTACATTTCTTGAGGTGCTAAAAATACAAGGGTAGTACAAACACCTCCCCCAAATGACCCCTTTTTGGAAAGTAGACAGCCCGAGGAATCTGCTGAGAGGCATGTTGAGTCCATGGAAGTTTTTTTTTTTCTTCAACAAACTTGAAAAACTACCGTATTTTTCGCTCCATAAGATGCACTTTTTCCCCCCCAAATAAGGGGGGAAAATGTCAGTGCGTCTTATGGAGCGAATATAAAGCGGCCGGTCCGGTATTTCTGCCGCCACCATGTCAGAATACCGGGCCGGCCGCTCAGCTGTTCTCTGCTGCAGGGCCTTACCTGTTCCTCGCTCCAGCGCTGCACAGTCTTCCCGCGCTGGCTCCTGTGACAGCCGGGTGCCCACTGCGCATGCGCTGCGCTTTGTGAATGGTCCAGTGTTTTCTGGGACACGACAGGTCCCAGAAGGCGCCGGGCCATTCACAAAGCGCAGCGCTTCTCGCGCAGTGGGCACCCAGCTGTCACAGAAGCCGGTGCGGGAAGAAGAGGGAAAGACACCTCCGCGGAAGTGGGAGCGGGTAACTGTCAAATTCAGGTACCCGCTCCCCTTCCCTCCCCAAAGGTCAGCAGTCTCTGGTCATCCCCTGCACTGTCTGCAGTCTCTGGTCATCCCCTGCACTGTCTGCAGTCTCTGGTCATCCCCTGCACTGTCTGCAGTCTCTGGTCATCCCCTGCACTGTCTGCAGTCTCTGGTCATCTGGACTGTGTCCCTGGTATTTTCCCTGTACTCTGTCCGCAGTCTCTGGTCATCTCCTGTACTCTGTCCGCAGTCTCTGGTCATCTCCTGTACTCTGTCCGCAGTCTCTGGTCATCTCCTGTACTCTGTCCGCAGTCTCTGGTCATCTCCTGTACTCTGTCCGCAGTCTCTGGTCATCTCCTGTACTCTGTCCGCAGTCTCTGGTCATCTCCTGTACTCTGTCCGCAGTCTCTGGTCATCTCCTGTACTCTGTCCGCAGTCTCTGGTCATCTCCTGTACTCTGTCCGCAGTCTCTGGTCATCCCCTGTACTCTGTCCGCAGTCTCTGGTCATCCCCTGTACTCTGTCCGCAGTCTCTGGTCATCCCCTGTACTCTGTCCGCAGTCTCTGGTCATCCCCTGTACTCTGTCCGCAGTCTCTGGTCATCCCCTGTACTCTGTCCGCAGTCTCTGGTCATCCCCTGTACTCTGTCCGCAGTCTCTGGTCATATCCTGTAGTATGTCCGCAGTCTCTGGTCATCCCCTGTACTCTGTCCGCAGTCTCTGGTCATCCCCTGTACTGTGTCCGCAGTCTCTGGTCATCCCCTGTACTGTGTCCGCAGTCTCTGGTCATCCCCTGTACTGTGTCCGCAGTCTCTGGTCATCCCCTGTACTGTGTCCGCAGTCTCTGGTCATCCCCTGTACTGTGTCCGCAGTCTCTGGTCATCCCCTGTACTGTGTCCGCAGTCTCTGGTCATCCCCTGTACTGTGTCCGCAGTCTCTGGTCATCCCCTGTACTGTGTCCGCAGTCTCTGGTCATCCCCTGTACTGTGTCCGCAGTCTCTGGTCATCCCCTGTACTGTGTCCGCAGTCTCTGGTCATCCCCTGTACTGTGTCCGCAGTCTCTGGTCATCCCCTGTACTGTGTCCGCAGTCTCTGGTCATCCCCCTGTACTGTGTCCGCAGTCTCTGGTCATCCCCTGTACTGTGTCCGCAGTCTCTGGTCATCCCCTGTACTGTGTCCGCAGTCTCTGGTCATCCCCTGTACTGTGTCCGCAGTCTCTGGTCATCCCCTGTACTGTGTCCGCAGTCTCTGGTCATCCCCTGTACTGTGTCCGCAGTCTCTGGTCATCCCCTGTACTGTGTCCGCAGTCTCTGGTCATCCCCTGTACTGTGTCCGCAGTCTCTGGTCATCCCCTGTACTATGTCTGCAGTCCATTGGTTCAAAATATTTTTTTTTCTTGTTTTTCACCTCCAAAACCTAGGTGCGTCTTATGGTCAGGTGCGTCTTATGGAGCGAAAAATACGGTACTTTTTTTTTTTTTTTTTTTTTAACTACACAAAGTTGTGACTTACATGATATATTGCTCATGCATGCCATGGCCATATGTAGAATAAAACCCCAAAAGACATTCTGCAACTTCTCCCGAGTATGGGGATACCACATGTGAGACATTTTGGTAGCCTTTCCACGTACAGGTCCCCAAAATCCAATGACCACTTTCAGGCTTTCAAAAGGGCACATTTCCTCATATCACTTCCTCACTACCTATCACAGTTCTGGAGGCCCTAAAATGCCAGGATAGTACAAACACCCCCTCCAAATGACCCCTTTTATTGGAAAGTAGACAATCCAAGGAATTTGATAAGAGGCATGGTGAGTATTTTGCAGATATCATTTTGCCACAGGGTTTTGAAAAAGGAAAAAAAAAAAAAAAAAAAGAAGAGGATTGGGGGGGAGGGGGGAGGAAATGGGGGAAAAGGGGTTGTATTTGATGTGACATTAATGTTATTTGTATGGTCTCTTTTTTTAAAGAAAATTAATAAAATATATAATAATTAAAAACGGCACTTTTAATAACCAGCAAAGCAGAAAAGATGATGAAATGCTTGCATCTTCCGGTTTCTTGGCCATTCTGGTCTCTGATCAGCTCTATGGTCAGCCAGCGAAACTGCTGGCTGAATTTCCAGATTTCCCGGTGGGACAGGAGAGCCCAAGAAAGGCGCAAAAGGCAAAGAGTGAGGGGGGTGGGGGTTTGGTTTGCCATCCCTTCCTGCTGCTTGTAAAACATTCCAGCAGCTACTTACCTGCTAGAATTGCTTTTACATAGAAGTCAACCAATAGCTGAAAAACATGATATCAGGATGATGCCTATAGCTCCAGGCATCATCTTGGTACAACAACTCAAAGTCCAGCAATGTACCAGAATGTTGCTGGTCCTTTTTGGGCATATATGTAAAAACAGAGAACATGGGCATATGATGAATCGGCTCTGTGGATCAATATGACCACAGTTGATTCTTGTTTTAATGCCCATGTTGAGGGTTAGGGCCAAAAAGTTTTACATTCAGAAACCCCATACGTTTCCAAGCGAATTGTCTGGCAAGAGCTGAATATGGGTGGGCAGCCATGTATTTTTATCTGTATAAATTGCTTTGGCCCACAATTGATACAAATCTTCAGTGAAAAACAGCGGAAGGGCTCAACGCTAGTGCTGGCAGCGAATGTGGCTGATCCTGCTAACACTGCGTTTTTGGAGACACTATACAAAGGACGCACTAGTATAATTCTGTTTGTGATCAATATATTGATTCGTACAAATACTATACTAGTAATGGAGGTGATTAGCGACCTATAGCTGACCAAGGGCTGAGAGGCGAGCTTACAGACCCTGACGCTATCTGATGTCGCTAGTGGCAGAAATACAGTGATCAGTGAAAAATTCCATATACTGGCACTGTACTGTACTGGGTGAGGAGGTGATCAAAGGGTTAAGAGGGGCAATCCAAGTGTTAAAATGTGATAATATAACATGTGCGTGCAAAATGTAGTGCTTTTACCTGCAGTGTGGTGTTCTCTCTTCTCTTCCGGAGTAGGCAGTCGGCCAGGGGGCCATCATCAGCCTTTTTTTTATTATTCTTTTTTCGGGCCGGCGGCAGACATCGTGAGTGACGTTGGATCTACTTTGGGAGGGACATTCTTTTATTTCCTTTTTTTTTTTTTTAAATAAAAGGAGTTGTCAAAGGCAGTGTCCTGTATTTTTTCACTCTAAACTTTTTTATTTTTGTGAATGAGTAGAGGGACCATGTACCCCATGCTCATTCACATGGGGGTGCTGGATCTGGGGGCCCCCTTATCAAAGGGGGCATCCAGATTCCAATAAACCCCTTGCCCGCAGACCTCCACAACCATCGACCAGCCCCCATGCCCCAAAGCACCCTCCGATGTTAAAGACATGTGGCCTGGTAGGGTTTCCTAACCTGCCGGGCTGCATGCTCGGATAAGGGTCTGGTATGGATTTTTTTTTTTGGGGGGGGGGGGGGGTCATGGTGGGAGGACCCCCACGTCAATTTTTTTTTTTTGGCGTGGGAGTTCCCCTCAAAATCCATACCAGACCCGAAGGGCTTGGTATGGATGGGAGAGGGGACCC